TCCCCAGCCAGCATGGCTGGCTGGGGAATTCTGGGAGTTGAAGTCCATCCATCTTCAAGTTGCCAAGGTTGAAAAACACTGCTCTAGGTCATCTCAAAACTGCTGCTTGGATTGGCAAATCTTAGGCTCTATTCACAGTAGAAAACTTGGTGAGATCTGGCCACGGACACTGGAATAAAATGCAGCAATAGTCGTACAGAGAGGTGAATCTTTAAGAAACAACCGTCTACAGAGACACTTCCTGTTATAATGTAGGAACAGCTTAACAGTCACACACACACACATACACACGCTCCTGCCATATGATCATTCATTATTCTACCATAGAGCAAATACGCAAAGGTCAGATGGTGGTAGACTCAACAGAATTACAGTTATTGTTCTAATAGTACTAACTGGTGCCACAAAGATATATCTATTTGTAGAGAATGTTATTTATTAAGCAACAAGCAAAAGCACACAGAAAGGCTGCTGAATCTAAGCAAGAAGGAAATTCATGCAGACAAAATTTGAGCACACTCTCTAAGTCTTATGTATTTTGCTTATATATGCAGGCTCCTATGAAAATAGTATGATAATACTATTTCTGTTGCTGGTTAATAATCATGCCACTATTTTGTTCAATACATTTTATTTTGTCTACCTGTAATAAAGGTAAACAAACAGCTAGTCTCGTTAGAAGAATTTTAAATTGTTTTCATGGGAAATGCTCTAAAACCCACTTAACATTAAATATTTTCAAACCATTTGGTCAACTCCAGTGGCTTTACCTGTTTAAATTAATTGAAACGTAAAGGGAAAAAAAATTGTTAATTGTGTTCAATAGTAATATACAGTGGTCTATTAAGTAGATGCTCCTAGTGTCAATTTTTATAGCTGCCCACCTCATATATGTGACTCTGGGCAGATATACTGTATGTTGAAATGTTCTGATTTTTATTGCATACATTTATGTTTTTAACCTGATTTACAGAGGTGTACCAGTCAAGAATTGTTAGCAATTTGAGCAGCTTATAAACCCAGGAAATAAACAAATAAAATA